TAATTTAGGGTAAATGCACCAATTATTGACCGATTAAAGTTTTTTTTTTCTGTACTAAGCTATAAAAAATCTATTAACCTACTAAAAACAATTTGTAATGGATTTTATTAAAGTTAAATACTTAATTAATAATAATTAATAACTATTTATAATAAAAATTAACAAAATGATATTAATTTTGTTATTTGAATCTTGAAATACTAAAATCATCAAGTATTGACCGAAGAAACCCAATAAATGACCGACCGTTCTCCAATTAATTGACCGCTTAAATAATTATAAGTAATTTTGTAAACTACATGTATGTAATTAAATTTATGCAGTACTTTTGAAGTATTAACGACATCTTTAACAAAACTAAACATACAATATAATTTTAAATCGTACTTTTTTATAAAATAATATAAATAATAGCAATAATTAACACCAAGTCACATTTCTTTAGGTCACAAATAATCACAAATTCATTTTGATGACGATAATTCTTCTGATTCATTTGAAATTTTTTTTATTCTTCTTCTTCTTTTTTTCAATTAAAGCTTTTTTACTAGCTTGTAACTCTTTTTTATTTTTTTAATTGCTTAGCAATTTTTTCTTCTCATAATTCGTTCTTTGATAACCGTTCACTAAAAAAATAAGAACAAAATAAAATTTAATAATCAAAAAAGATTTTAAGTATTATTTTAATTATAAATATACATTTTATAATGATTATTTTTATATTTACTAAATATTGAATGACTAAAGTACTTTAAGCACTTGACAGATTTAATTTTGAGGTGAAGAAGTTAGTATTATAAATATACGGTCATTAATTGGATTGTGATAAAATTAGAGAGTCTAATAAATGACCGAATGAACTTTTTACTGGGTAAAGAGCTTCTGATGGATCCAATAGTTGATCGGTCTTAAAATAATATTAAAACTTGTAATTTAACTTTATTTTTTCAAAAAAGTTGGAATCTGATCTTTAATTAACATAATAAAATTAAAATATTTTATATTATGCCGATAAATATCACTAAATTAATGATGAAATGTACTCACTCTCCAATTGTACGCTAGTTATTTTTGACCGCTTTATGGGGCTGGTTGCGTTGTAAACAAACTCAGAATATTTTTTTAAAGCTATAATCACTGCGCAATTAATTGCGTAATTTTTTATTATGATGATTAAATGCGATATTTTTTTTATTTTAATACTTTAAGAAAAAAAAAACCCTTGTAAAATATTAATTAATTAACTTTTTTATACATCGGTCAACTAATTGGTGACCGGTCAACAACTGATGCATTTACCCTATATAAATAGTTGTTAGTTAAAATAATAAAAAAGAAAAATTTGATTTAATATTTATTTTTTGATTTAATTCACGATATAATTTCACAATTAAAATTTGAATATCACAAAAAAAATTACTAAATTTTCAATGACTCCATTGTAATTTCTATTACAACTTTGTTTTGTGATTTTACAAAAATTTCTAGTAAACCAAATCACAAACAATGTTTTAATGAAATTTGACAAACAGTTCTGTATAATTATAATACAATTAGGATTTTTATGTGAAGATCGTAAAATTACAACAAATCCCATTAAGTTTCCTGACATTTTTTGAAAAATTACTAGAATTGTTTCATAATTTCGCAGTTAAGTGGTAAACATCGATTTGTACTTCCCCCAACCTTTGTTTTGTAGAATGATTGTAATTTTACAAATATTTTCAACAGTGTAATTACAAATAACGTTAACCGGCTAGCTGTCACATGCTTATTAGTGGTGGCGCTCTCTAAGCTAAAATTCGAGACGTCAAATTAAAAAAAATTTTTTCAACGATTATTTTTAATTCAAAAATTCAAGAACTCATTTTTCGCTCTCTGAACTATATGTAGTTATTAAAAAAAAATAATGGCTTTACATTTTTGTTCTTAAATTTAATGTAATTTCTTTTAGAAATAATATTTGTTCATTTATTGAATAAGAGTTATGAAGTATTTTGTATACTTTTAGAAGAAGTTCTTAAAAATGAATTGAAAAAAATTTATTTTTTCAGAAATGTGGAGTTGAACCATTGGTTGATGAATTGTGTGCTAAATTGCGGAATCTCGAAGGTAGCAGTGGGTCTACAAATGATACTAGTGACACTGAAACGGAAGAAAGTAAAAGAAAAAATCTAGAAAGTGTCAACAATAGTAAATTTGAGACCTTAACACCTCGAGATAAAGCGTTGAGATATTACGCAGCTTTTCCAGCCTTACAGCCTGCCACCCCAAAGAAAAATAATAATTATAATCATAATAATAATATTATTAATAATAATAATAACAATAATAATAATTATAATAATAACAATTATAATATTAATAAAAATAATAACAATCTCAAGAAGGATAAAACCTACAGTGCCACCATTAATAATTTGAATAAAAAAAATTACAATAACAAAAATAAAAAGAACGATAAGAAGAGGAAAACTAAAATGTCCATTGTGAGTATATTAAATTAATTTTAGCTTTTATTTTTACATTTTCTTGAAGTATGATGGGGGTAAAGGCTCCAAATATTGACCAGTTTAGATAAAATGAATATAAATTATTACACGCCTCATAAGCGAAGCGGATGAGGTAGTGCTCTACTCTCGCTTTACAAAAATCAAGTAATTTTTTTAACTAAAATTATCTCTACACGGAAAAAAGTAAACTGTAAAATTCACTCGGATTCGGGTTAATTTTAATAGTTTCAAACAGTAAAACGGATATCGGGGTGGCAAAAATATAAATATTACAGAACTTAATGTAGAAAGTGTAAAAGCCACAATTTATAATTTAATATCCAAAATAAGTGATTAGTAGTTGTCACGATAGTAAATAACGACTTTCTCATCTTAAAAAATTACAGTTTCAAACAGTAAAAAGGCTATTCGGCAGCCGAAATGGAAGTAGATTTCTCAAAAAAAAAAAAAAATTGTTTTTTTATAAAATAAAATTAATAATAATATTTCACATAATTAATTAATCAAAGAAAAATTAAATAATTAATTAAAACTATTTAGAACTAATTTTGTTCAAAATAAACATTTGCTGGCTTAAGTACAACAATAGTGTTAATTCAGTACGTAGAATTCTAATATCAACTTATTGAAAATGTTTCTATTTAATATTAAATTACAACCATCAAACTAAACAAAACGACTGGAGGAGTAAAATTTCATTGAAGGAAACCCAGAATAGATATTTTTTGATCTAGAAATATATGTAAACATGTAAATTAAAGCTTATTTTTGAGCTTTTAGATGCATTTTACAGAATTCAAATATCTCGACGCGCTCAAAAGTCATTTGAAGGAAAAGCGGTAAAAATATGGAATTTTTGAATTTTCAAAATTTTAAAATGCTGTAATTTCTAAACTAATTGACCGATTTGGCTCAAATTTGAACTTGATCTTCGTGATCATTCATAGAATAAGTATGTCGAGTTTCATTGAAATCCCTAAAGAATTGTAAACTCTATCGTGCTGACAAGCCCCGCGTTATATCGTATATATACATACATATATAAACTTTTGAACCATATGTATTTTCTAACTCAGCTCGTCGAGTAAAATCGGAATAAAGCAAAATTTTTCAAAAGTTGCGTCATGAGGACAAATGCAATATTTAGATTTTTCTGACATCTACTAAAAATTACCATTTCAATATATAGTCCATATTATAAGAAGAAGGGGAACTCAGATGAGGAGAAAGGGATTTCACTTTGGGAGAATTTAACATTTGAAACAGTAAAAATTTTATCCTATATACTAAAATTGATGGTAGAATGAAGTTAGCTTAGTATCGAAAACATGGACCCTGATTCCTTATTGGTTAAGATTAAGGCGCGCGCGTAGCGCGCTATTCAAATTTCTAGTACTTTAAAAATATACATTTTACCAGTCCAAGCAGGTCAATAATTATAGTTTGATTTTTAGCGTTGCGTTTAAAATTTACCATTTTACTTTGTTAATATTGATGTTGCTTGTATTAGAAATTTACTATTTTTATTTTATACTTTTTACGTATCATACGATCATTTTTTAGGTACGAAATGACACAAATATCAAAGTCAAAATTCTTAATTATTATACTTTAACATTTTCAACATTCATATAGCAAATATTACTGTTTGAAATAGCATTTTCTTCCATTTAAAGAATAAATTGTAGCGTTTAAATGATAAATATTATAAAGTGAATAGTAAATTCACGATTTTACTGTTTGAAATGGTAATTTTTAGCAGTTGATCATTACTTATTATAAATCGACTATTATTTATTACAGCTTACTTTTTTCCGTGTATTTATTTTCTATCGCACTTGTAGAATAATATTTACACATAAATGTCATGGAAAAATACTAGTTTCAAGACTTATGACTTATGACATTTTTAAAAGAAATTTTGCTTTTTAAATAAAGAAAAAAAAATGTTAAAAAAATTATTCCGTGGACGTCCGTGTGTCTGATATATGGAAACTGGCGTGGTCACGATAGCTGCCGAAAAACTTAACTGATCAAGTCCATTTTTTTTATACGCTTCAGTATTATCCAAAACTGTCCTTTCGAAAATCACGGTCTAATTCAATGCAGTTTAATTATAATTAGCAATAAACTAAAATCCACTTATCTTTTGTATATCTATATCTAAGTAAATAAGGTTCGTTTAAAACACATGCGCAGTACCTTTCTTTTCTGGGTAGACAATGGCGCGAAAGATTTAAAAGTATTTGTATATTATTTTAATCAATTTTATTTTGGAAAATTAGATTATGAGGCGTGCACTTTTGGATTTTCCAAAATTTTTTGGGAGACTTTATTATGAGTTAAAACGAGTATTATCCTTTTTTTATAATTTTAACTAACAATCAATAATATTTTTGTTTATAAAATACATAATAATATATATTAAATTGTAATAATTAACGTGACGGCCGGCTGCTCTGAATATTGGCCATTAAGCACTAAATATTGACTGCCTATGTTCCAAACACTGACCAGTAGTATTATGCGTACTAGATTTATAAATAACTTCTTATTTTTAATCTACAATAGATTCGACATTAGATAATCTATTTACTGACGTATTAATAACTTCAGTATTGTTGTTAGTTGTTCTGTATTCTGATACAATAGTATCTTCAGTTCTCATATTGAAGTCAATAGCCGAAGCCATACTAATATTAGGTGCATTGGACAATTTACAATACCAATTTTTGTCCAGAGTATTATTTCAATTATTAACATATTTTTTCTGACAAAAATTATTGATTATTAATATTCGATAATCAATTGTTTTGACAAATACTTATTTATTGATTATGAAGTATTTAATTTTATATAAATTTATCACAAATGTTTGTACAAAACATGGTTGAAGTTAAGTTCTAATGACTAATTTTCACAACTTTCTGACATTTGTTCACAAACTTATTTTTTTTTTTTTTTTATTAAAACAACTGCATATTAGGGTGGCGCAAAAAAACCGACTATTTTTTTTAGTCTCGAGTGAAAAAATATTAGTTTTTGATGTTTTAAGAGCCCTCACCAAAGGACAGTTCAAAAAAAAATTTTTAAGAGGTCAAATTCCATGCATTTTTTTTTATTTAGTACAATAATCGATAAGAATACATTACGAGATGAACTAAAAATTAAGCACAACATAGAAAATATAATTTTTTTTTAATTTAATAATTTTATTTAATCAACTGCCAGGCGTGAGTTCGAATCCCAAGCTGGTCTTAGAAACCAGCTTGGTTGAGATTTTACCTTGCCGCGTAGGTTAAGATGTTTTCAAACCAAAAAGACCCCAACGTACCACTCCCAACACTTAAAGTCGGCGATATCACTAATTAACGAACAATAAAAAAAATTATGAGCGACCTTTCAAAATTTAAATTTTGAACTGAAACTTTCAGAAACTTAGTTTTTTTTGGTCTATAAAATTATACCGTGACGAGAAAAAAAAATTAAAAAAAAAAAAATATTCGATTTTTGACGATTTTTGACGACGTAAAAAAAAGTATATAATAAATTTATTATTAAACTACTGTTTTTTCATTTCATGTTATTAATCGAATACTTGCGCTAAAAAAAAAAAAAAAACTAGAGCTACAGATGACAATTTTAAGACTTTGATTATAAAAAAATTATATATAATTTTTTATAAGACAAATAGGCACTAAATAAACTTAAAGAAAATGTAAATGCATTAATTTTAGGACATAATTTAAATGGACTTTCAATTTTTTTTTTTTTAGAGAACAATTGATCATAAAAAAGATAAAGGAACTTTTGGCTTTGCAAAATCAATGGAACGAGAGCGAGACAACGACCGAGAATCAGAGATGGACAAAATAAAATTGCAAGAACTGCAAGCTAAATTTGATCACAGTCTTGAGGCACTTTGGGACAGCGGGCCAGGTAATGCTGGCGACAAGGCATCAATTTGGGCAGCTCCGTCATTGTCGATACCCTCAGGCCCACTTTGGCCTGTTGATCCGACAGAATTGTTGATATTGCCTATTATTCATGATGATGATGACAATGATGAAGATGAGGATGATGATGATGTTATTAATGATGAGGACAGCAGCATTAATTGCAAGAAGATTATTAACAGTTGTAACAACACACCCTATTTTTACAACAATCACTATCATGTTAGCGACGATGGAACTATTGCTGACAATGAAACTGTAATTCCATGGGATATTGGGATTATTGGGGTTGGAAAATTCATTGATGATTCTAAAGATAAAATTGGTAGGTTTTTTTAATTATATTTCAGAAACTAACAATCAAATTATGATTTTTTATATTACGGAGGTCCTTTCGCTATCAATGTTAAATAAAAAATATTAGATTATGCACAAAATTCATTTTTATCTAATAGTTAAAGTCCTTATTTATCTACTAGTGAAGTTTAATTTATTCTTCACCGTTCAAATTTTTGAAAAAAAAATTTCTAAAAATGTTAGTATTTTTTCCGAGTCTTACGAGAAAGTCAGACCTTAACAACTTTCTCAAATTATGGCATTAACCACCGATTAGATGGGGTAAAAAAAAACTCAAAATAAGGTTTTCGAAATATTCAGGTTTCATTTTTTGCAATAAAATATATAGGTTGCCGTGGAATTTATAGAGAAATTAAAATTATAAAATCACAGAAAATTTTTAAGTAATCTACATTTAAATGGCGTCAGAACATTTGGCAACGTTGCGTAGCGCGCGAGCTTCAGACCATTCAATAAATTCAAACTAAACTTTAACGCACTTATGTTTTTCATACATACTTATTAGTCAATTTATTGTTAACAAATTTTCATATTTCATAATTGAAAAATAAAACAATAATTAAAAAATACTAGCATTCCTGCCATGAGACATTAGAATGTTATGGTTTTGTGACTAAACTTAGCTGATTTACAAGAGTCAAATTAATTTTTGTATTTAACTATTTTTTTTTTAATTTTCAAAATTTCAACGATTAATGCCTCATATACCATTTATTTTTTAATTTTAGGAATTTTTATGGGTTCTTTATTTTAATTTATCGAATATTGACTACTACAGTTGTTGTGACTCAACTGGAGCGAAAGGACTTTCTTTTAATATTAAAATTAGTTAGTAAGGTAAAGTACCCAGTAGTTGAACAGGTTTTAAAGTAAAGCGTATTTGACCCTACTTTTAATACATAAAGAAGTAATTATTAGTTCAAATTGGTGATTTTCATGAAAATATAAATAATTTTGAATTAACCGAAGCGCAAAATAACGCAGATAGTTAAATATTTATATTTTGACAACGTTTTTAAGGTAGACTATGAAAGAAGTAGTAGTAGAACAATCAATTCTGACAAGCCGCAGTAGTTGAACTAATAAAATATATGGCAATAGACACAGCAAAAATTTTCAACGTTTTATTATAATATTAAAAGAATTATAACATATTATTGATTAATATAAAAAATAATACTGTGGATATTTAATATGTTCATTTAAAAATGAGAAATATTTGTATTTAATTTTTTAATTACATTTTTTATGAATGACAAAGAAAATTTTCAATTATAAATCAAAAAAACTTAATTCAAAACGTTCAATAATTTTTAACTACACTAATTTTTAGCCAGAAAACTTATTTAGTTTGCAGTAATTAATACAAATGACAATACTGATCACTAGTCTATAAACTTATTAGAGATTAGAGTGCTGTTAAAATTATACGGCCCCAGCTTGTTCAAGTTTTGGGTACCGCTTTGAAAATTCGGAGGTATAGTTCGACGCTAAAATTTAATATAAAAATTATAGTTTATGTCTTTGTAAAAAATATGGATTATTTAGAAAAGACTATTTCATTGGCTGGTACAATTTCTTTACTCAAAATGATATACCGTTTTTTTTTTTTTTTTTACTGATTGTTCGGTTTACGGTATAGTACCTTTTTCATGAAAAAAAAATAGCATCTATCGGCTATTCTTGACATGTCAACTTTTAAGTTAACAAAAATAAAATTGTTTTGATTTATAATTGAAAAAACTTACAGAAATCAATTACTGTATCATTGAATAATTATAACATGCGCATATTACTCATAATAAATTAACGGATTTTGTATTATACAACAATTCGAAAAGTTTGTTCGAGTACACAGAAAGAAAAATTTCTTGACTGGAGAACAAAATTCTTGGCTCAAGAAAATTTTCGGGTGCCTGAAGGAAGACCGAAGTTGTATTGGCCGAAGTAAAAATTTTTCTTTAAATTCTATTCTTGGTGGAAGTAATTTTTTCTTAATTCAAATTATCATAAATACTTGATACAATAAATTTTTATATTTGATCAAGATTTTTAGATACTTTAGGGAAGCAGTACCACCTACACGGGAAAAAATTTCTGGGAAAATTTATGATACAACTATTGTAAAGCTGGACTATACCTTTATTACTATTAATTATCAAATATTTTAGAAGAAAAAATACTATTTATTAATGAAAAAATACGATATTACTATTGTAAAAAGTAAGAGATGAAAATTTCCAGTGCTGCCTATGTATCTTTTCAATAGAACTATAGCAAATTTTACAATAGTTGAATTGGAATATCTCTCAATTAGTGTGAGTGATGGCCGTGCACAGCGCTAGACTCTGAGTTTATCCTATAATAAAATTGAGATGAAATGTATGTGGCATCAAACTATTCGTAACGTGATTGGTCAAATATATCATGAGTATGAAAATATAGACAAATGCTATAGTCAAGCGCGCGCTTGCGCGCGAAAATTTGAATTCTAGTCCCATAATAAAATTGAGATGAAATGTATGTGAAACCAATCTATTCGTGTTATGATTGGTCGAAAATAAATATTCTCATTCTGATTGGTTGAAAGTGAATATACTATACATAAACGACACATAAATATACCATGATAATAAATATGAGGCGCGCGCTTGCGCGCGAAAATTAAATTCTAGTCCCATAATAAAATTGAGATGAAATGTATGTGGCATCAAACTATTCGTAACGTGATTGGTCGAATATATCATAAGCATGGAAATATATGCAAACTCTATAGTCAAGCGCGCGCTTGCGCGCAAAAATTTGAATTCTAGTCCTAATATAAAATAGAGATGAAATGTATGTGGCATCAAATATTCGTAACGTGATTGGTTGAATATATCATAAGCATGAAAATACATGCAAATTCTATAGTCAAGGCGCGCGCTTGCGCGCGTAAATTCAAATTCTAGTCCTAATATAAAATTGAGATGAAATATATGTGATATCAAACTATTCGTAACGTGATTGGTTGAATATATCATAAGCATGAAAATATATGCAAACTCTATAGTCAAGGCGCGCGCTTGCGCGCGTAAATTTGAATTCTAGTATAAATGTTAAAGGACATTGGTCTTAGTTTACCGCGGATAGCCTAAAGGGAGAGTCTCTGGCTACCAACACAGAGTTCTGGGTTCGATTCCCAGGTAGCACGAAAATATTTGTTTCTTTTTTCGATTACTTTACAGATACCAATTCGTGCAACCTTCTATCTCTCTCCCTCTCTAATATTTCTTTTAAAAAAATCAACTGTGAATTTTTACAATAGTTGAATTGTAAAGTTCACAAACACATATTGTATAATTTGCTCTATAGTATTCGACTTTTTAAAACTCTTGCTAGTCTTATTTGTTGGATAAAATTTACAATAGTAGATCGTAAAAATTACTAAATAAGAAGTATAGTCCACCGTTACTATTTTATTTTGTAAAAATTACAATAGTAAAATAGTAATAACTCCTTCAATTTTCTTCCCGTGTACTTCAGCTGAGAAAAATATTTTCTCACCTTGAGAAAATTTTTCTCTTGAATATTTGATACCCATTTTATATTATTTTAGCGTGCAATTATACATATTGAATTAAAAAAAATTATTCAATATTATTTGATCTTTCCATTTGACATGTTAGTCAATAAAAAATATTAATGAAAATTTACTTCTATCTTTATATTTAATTTTTTGGAGCAAGAGAGAAATTTTCTCAAGACAAGAAAATTTACTTCTATCAAGAACTAAATTTTTTGGAGCAAGAGGCTGAATTTTCTCAAAACAACAAGTTTTTCTTGACTTGAATAAATTTTCTTGGATCAAGATACGTATTTCTTAAAGCAAGAGAAATAATTTAGTTAGAATAAGTGCAATTTATTGTGTAAAAAAAAATTTTTTTTTTCGCTTAAGAAAATAATTAGGAAGAAATGTATTTTTTTGTCTCAAGTAAAAGTATTTTTGTGTTCAAGTACTGGGTACTTTACCTTACGCTAATTTTCCACCAACAACCCTTTAATTAGCCAGCCCATATCATAAGCTTCCCCCTCCTCATTAATAAATAAAAAGGTTGCGCACACTTACTCCGTATACAGTCACTCCACGTGACTTGACGTATTATTTTAAAAAATGATATTATTTCAAGACTAATATATAATTTTATATAATTAATTTAAATTGTAATTTATTAAAAAACTTATTTTAATAACAATAATATTAATTATCATTTCAGATTATAATTTAAACTGGTCAGATTATGGCGGCGATGGACCATGGAATTGGAAAGACCTTGGCAATAATTTAATAACAATTGATAATCCTAAAATAAACTCATTCTACTCATCACCTCACGATGATATTAATTTGGTAATAAAACAACAACGTCAACAAAAAGAGCAGGAGCAATATTTATCAGCGAATAATGATTACAAAGAAAAATTAAACAATTTAAAAAATGAAATTGACGGAAACAAAATTATAAACAATGATGGTGGAAATTTCGTAGAATTAAAATTAAAAAATGAGCAAGAACAAAAGCAAGAAGTTGAAGCTAAAGTAGTAGAAGTTATTGAAGACAAAGAACAAGTAAAAATTGAAGTGAAGAATAAAGCAAGTGAAAATGTTAAGGTCGAGCAATCTGAAGTTGAGGAAGAAGAAGATTTGTTGACATCAGCCCGTACACACTTTCGTCCAATAAAAGACGACGGGAATTGGGTTGATGGTACAACATTTCCTGTCAACAATAATTATGAATCGGTTAATTATCGTCGATCATCCTGTGGAAATTTATTGTATCTACCGAATGATGATAATCCTTACATGGAGTATCATGAAACAATCATAGCACCATTATCATCTTCATCAGCATCAAACACATCTACTGCTGCTGGAGACGGAACACCAGTTAGAAATTTCACATTGAAGTTTCGGGTCAAACAGTGTGATAAGTCAATCCAAACAGATCCGATACGTTCGCCGGTCAAACGACGGATTATCGCTGAGCCAGATCGCCATTTTTACTATACCAAGTTGATAAATAATCTTGGAGATGATGATAATGGTGATTCTCATGCTGACGACGACGATGATGATGATGATGATGATGATGATGATGATAATGTTAATATTTTAACACAAGAATCTTACGACATTAATAAAGATTCTTTCATGTTAGATCACATGCATTGGAAACAACCAAGTTTGTCACTACTTAATGATAGAAAACGGTTAGTATTGTTTTTATGAGTCATTATTTTATTTTAAGAGTATTTCAGGGAATTTATAGCTAAGATCGCGTGTTATAGAAAATTATATGTAGTTTATCAGAAGTTTAGTTCTTAAGATCGCTACTGGCAGCGCTAGTATTTGGCGCGAAAATTTGAATAAAAATTGATTAGTATTTAAATAGGACAACGTCTGTCAAGTAAGCTAGTTAATTTATGGAATTATCTATATAATTAAAAGAATAAGGAAAATTTTGTCTCCGGCGTATTTATATTATATAATGAGTTTTTTTTAGTTAAATTTAGTATCATTGGAAAGGTCTTAATTTGAATTTGTGCCTTTTCAATGTTTCATATGCTTTTCAGCAATTGTTTATTTATTATGATAAGTTTTTGAAGTAGTTATGAATAGATTTGAAATTCGCAATAAACAAAATTTGTTTATTTATTTATTGCACTCCTCATATTACATTTATATAATAATCTAAGTAGATGTACACCGAGAAAACACTTAAATTAAACCATCTTTTATTTTCTAAAATCATTTCATGTAGCTATTTTGATAAAAAAAATTTTACGTGGACGTCCGGATGTCACCCCATTTTGGATGTACCAACGATTACTCCCGAACAAATTGATATTTCAAGATCGGACCTTTTTTATTAGTTTAAGAATGCGATGAACTGGGTCCGTATTTTATATCAGTAGCCTAGTTTACGTATTTTTTTTTTAAATTGAATTTTTATTAAAATTCACTACGATACAACCGTGCAAAGACTAACGAATTTTTCTTATTTGTCACGTGAAAACTATGGCGCCACTTGATCAAGCTAGATTTTTTTAAACTGCGTGCGCATATGACAAGAAAAAAGGGCGCTGATATTTAAAAAAAAAAAAATACTCTAAGAAATTACTTAATTGTAATTTTTTTCTTTTTTTTTAATCAATTACACAATTTATTTTTTCTTAAAAAATGAATGAGCGTTATGAGGCGTGCACTTTTGGATTTTCCAAACTTTTTTGTTTTGCACATGTTAATGCGGTTATATGTCAAAAATAAATTTATATAATTAAGAAACTAAGAAAAATTTTGTAACGGGTATATCTTTATCGTAAATTAGTTTTGATATTTTTTCAGCAATAATCAGTTAGGATTTAAACTAGCAACCTTGCAGTCACTATGTGATTGCCGTGACTTGTGAACTATAAATAAATAAAATTTTGTTTGATTAAATAATGACTTTTGTTAAATTGCACTGTACTTCCTTAAATATTAACGTTCTTAAAGATATTTATTTATTTCTTTATTAATAAAATCTGACAGCCTGTATGATGAGTTATGAGGTTACAAAACGATACTTTACTATATGTTGTAAAGTGTTTTACACATGATGCATTTAGTAAACAAAAAGAAAAATATTAACAAAATATAAGTTATAAATAACAGGTGTTTGACTCTGACGTACATAATATACTATTCGTAATACTATATTTATTATTAAATTACGATAGATTAGATAAACTCAGTATAATATTTATGATTATTTAAGAGCTAGAGTATGATCATATGCTTTAGCTAGTTAAATTGTCTAGATATAAGCTCATCCCGATGTTACACTCATCAAAAGCTTTCATTTGAGTACCCACATGCATTTTGATATTTTTTTCATATATGGGGCATTCCACGCCAAATCGACCACTTTTGACCCTGACCCCTTTTGATTTGGCTGAAAGTTTACCATCCTTTTCTATCCTATCAAAAACGTCTCTCATAATTTTTTCAAATTTTTTTACCCAACCAAAAAAAAGTTCCGAATTTTTCAAAAAAACCGTAAAAAATGTCAAAGTTTAGAATGAGAAAAAGAAAAAACAAACTAAAAATGGTATTCATCAAAAAATTCGGAGTTTTTTCTAAAAATTTTAAAAATAACGAAGAAGATAGCTTTAAAGAATTTTTTATATTTTTTTCCAAAAAGAACATTTAATAACAAAAATTTTGAAAAAAAAAAAACGTCCCGATAAGCCAATATTTGAAAAAGTTATGGCAATTTAAAAATAAAAAAGCGGTTTTTTTAAAAAATTCGGAACTTTTTTTTGGTTGGGTAAAAAAATTTAAAAAAATTATGAGAGACGTTTTTGATAGGATAGAAAAGGATGGTAAACTTTCAGCCAAATCAAAAGGGGTCAGAGTCAAAAGTGGTCGATTTGGCGTGGAATGCCCCATATACATCTCGGTCGATACAGGGCATGAAGGGTAATTGATAGACTTCATTACTAATAAAAAAATTCAGAATCTTGAGCAAGTAATTATTCATAATAAGAGTTTCGTTTTACTGCCTCTAGGCAGTAACTATTTTACCAGGCAGTGAAGGAAAGTCTTGATATTTTTAATTGTTGTTGGTATTTTTGTCCATATTAGATATTAAAAGTTATTAATAGCCTTTCTACTCATACAATTAAAAGTACTAATTTTTAACTTCCAGCTAAGAAAATTGAAAATTGTCAAAAATCGGGAAGTTATTGGTTTTACCCCGTTTTTCGAAAATCGAGTTTTTATCGGATCTCGACGTTTCGAGGTCTTAGGAAGCTTTCCTGACTATTCCCGCGATGGTGTCCGTGCGGCTGTGTGTGTGTGTGTGTGTGT